GATCTTGAATTGGAGTATGAGGGAGCAGCTCCAGGATCCACCTCGACACAGCCAGTTAGACAAAACATTTCTTTAAAACTGAAAGCAAAGAGCAAGTCTGCAAGCTCATTGTCATCTGGGAAAAGCAAGAAAAAGGAAGGAAAAAGTGGAGAAAAGTCTAGGACTGGATCTGAAGGTAAAGAAGCCAATTTTCTCTCAGTGCTGTGCAATGTATGTCCGGTTTTAAGCCTTGCTGTCATGTTGTTTGCGTAGACAAGAAATGTTACTTCACTTCTTTGTCTCCTCACCCAGGTGTATAAAAATGGGTACATGTACCTGAGGCATGGTTTGTGAAGGTCGTTGAGAGAGAGACACTCTTTTTTTTTTCAAACTTTTATTAAATACTCCACAGCGTTACAATACTAACATTACATGGCATTGCATGATATTACATTACAATAAATTACAAGCACATTACATTACATTGCACTATGAACTTAAATGGTAAAATAACTATTCAAAAAATGAAAAATACATTCTTAGTGCACACGACACTAGGGTACAGAGTCCAAAGGGAGAGCCCACTTCTCATTAAATTTGTCCATTTTATTAGTTTTAACACATATATACTTTTCTGTTTCATACTTAATTTTAACCTTGGATGAAAAGGCAGTTATGACTGGAGGAGTCTGATTTCTTCTACAACCCCATAAGTATAGTTTAGCGATCAGTATGAAATAACTCATTAAAGGGCAATTTGTATATAATATTCCTGTAATAACAGTTTGTAAGGTCAGACAGACGAATTGTGGAAAGTCTTGTCACTTTATCGGTTCCTTTCCAAAAAAATTTATATATCATTTGATTTAACTCTTTAACGATTTCCTTGGGCACTGGCAGAAACAAGGAAATGTAAACAAGTTTTGGTATGGTTAAAGACTTGATAATTGTTACTTTTCCATAGATAGAAAGACCTCTCAAAGACCAAATGTTTGTAAGTTTTTTGACTCTGTCCAATCTCTCAATAACATTTTTTTCGTGCAAAACTTTGATATCGTATGAGTAATAAACACTGAGGGCTTTGATTGGTTCATCAGGCCATTTTATACAAAAGGTTTTGAAGTTTTATCCCTAGATGACCCAATCCATATTCCTTCAGTTTTAGATGAGTTAATTACAAGTCCTGATAAGTGCTTGAATACTTCGCGAAGGTTATAAGGGCCTGTGCCGAGTCAATGTCAGACAGAATGGCCGTTGTGTCATCAGAGACACACTCTTGATCATCTCTGTCAATAACAGCCTGACGCAGTGGATTCCCTTAAGCTATTATGAGCATACGAAAATGGAATATAGAATATAGAACCAATACAGTGCTTGAAAAATCTTGAAGTCCAGCTTGTCCTTGGGACCAGCAGCTTTCCAGGCCACCTGATATATATTACGCGATGGTGCGATTTCGCACAATTGACCTCAAATCGCATCCGATCGCACAATTTGAGGAAAATCGCATAATTCGTAAGAAAATGCTGAATTCAAGTAAAGTAAACAATGAATTCTAACTTTAATTAAACATTTTCTTAACCTTAATGTTATTTAAGGTGATTTACCACTAAAGAAAGTCTTGCAAGACATCTGAACCCTTCCATCGCGGTTTGACTTCAGGGACAACCATTGTGGAGTGTGATGGAACGGCGTGATGTAATATTAAGCAAGGGTCCTTTTTATTTTCCGGGTCAAACTAATCAAACAAATTTAACTATTTTGTTTTAAAATAGATGTTTTATTATTCCTTTACATTCAAATTGCCTGTTAAACAACATTAAAGTGGTTTTTCTCCTTTGAAACCTGGTAAAACGACGTAAATTAGCCCTGAAAAAATTGCATAATTTATGGCGTAATAGTCCTATCTTATTGCACAATCTACCCTGAAAATATCGCACAATTTCTGATTTTTTATCGCACCCTATCAGATGGCCTGGCTTTCACATTTTGCTTGGTTAGGGCCACCTCTTGCTTGTCTTAGTTATTTTATAAGAAGATGAGTTGTCTTGACCCTTATTGGGCAAGTGAGCCTTAACATTTACTTGTCTAGTAAGAAAATTAATCCACTTGACAAGGACTACTGGATGGGACTTGTTTTGAGCCCTGCAATAGAAATTTGTTGCTGTTCATTTCTCCACCTACTAATTGTACATGTAAACGTGTATATCCAGCAACTTGAAATCTGAGCAACAGCCCTGCTTGAGGAAATGAGCAACATTGACAAGTTTTTCATTTTATTGTGCATGTTTTTTTTATTCAAAAGAGACAATCAGTATTACAGTGAAACCTTGATTGTTTAACAAAGTCCTCGATATAATGAACAATTTTTTTTACCCCAGTCAAAGAAAGGTATGAAAAAGAACTTTGATATAACGAAACCTCATCGATATAGCAAACACATTTTGCCAGTCATTTGGCCCCTCGATCGTTAAATCAAGGTTCCACTGTACAGATGTTTCTAGAACCTTCTGGAAAAACCTAACTGGAAAAACAGGTTTTTCAAGAATGGTCTTTTTGTTGTTACATCTTACCAGTTTTCACCCTTTTGTCACTAACTGATCTGTCACAGAGTTCTCTTGTCTTTTGACTCATAAATAAATTTCAAGTTGTTTTTGAAAACTTCCCAAGCTCTGGTAAATTTATGAAGTTGAATGGCAACAAGGATGTCCCTGTGATGAGCTAGTATCCCATCAGGAGAGGTTAGCCATACCGTATTTATTCGATTAACCGCCCTGGGCGCTTATTAAATTTTTGGACCTTGAGAGTGGGCGCTTATTCGAGGTGGGCGCTTATTCGAGGCTGGGCGCTTATTAAATTTTCACCATTTTCAGCAAATGAAGTAGGTTTATTTTGCAACAAAACAATAAATGCCAATAACAAAACGCGAAGAGGTAACAAATCAAGGTTTCTGTAAAATACTCTGAAGAAAACTCCGTCCTCGGGGAAGTCTCTTATTGGAACTTGTTCACTTAAGTGGGTGGGTTGGGGGTGAGCGCTTATTTGAGTCTAATTGGGAGGAGGAGGGGTGGGCGCTTATTCGAGGCTGGGCGCTTATTAACTTTTTCTGCCTTCAGCATGGGCACTTATTCGAGGTGGGCGCTAATTCGAGGTTGGGCGCTTATTCGAATAAATACGGTACTCCTACAGAGTAGATGCTTCATGCTACAGAAATTAGGTTAGGCTCCAGCTGTTTGGGTGTAAAGATGTACATTTTGTAGGTGTGCCTCTACCTACTTTGCATAGAGTTCCTCTGCCCTATTGTTTGTTAATTCTTGCCTTCAGTAGTGCTGTAATTTAGTGTGTACTGTAAGTGACAAAATTCTATCCTTTTAGTAAAAGTTCTTATATTTTTTAAAAGAATTTGTTATTCATGTGTACCAGCCACCAAGCAAAGTCTATGAGTTTTTGTTATGAAAACAATAGAAAAAGAGTTGTTTGTTTGTTTACACAAATCCTGGTCAAAATTATTTGATTATTTAATTTTGCCTGGATTTGTGTAAAAGTTATTCAGGTAGAGGCCATAGAGTATAGTTAGGTTGTAATGACAGGTTGTGCAGTTTTCAGATGATAAGATTCAAGTAAAACCCAGTAAACTGCATATGCAGCATTTCGCTAGATTGTTAAGTTCAAGTACAAGTTCATTTATTCACACTTATTCAATTACAATACAACAACAATAAGAAAAAAAAAAGAAGTAAAAATAGAGCCAAGTACACATTGAATTAAACACAACAAAGGAAGAAAACGTGTAGCAGCCAAAGGAGTCAAGCTTTCGAGTTGGCTACTACCACAGAGTGGTTACATCTTGTTCAGTGTCATATTGTTGTAAAAGTCCTCTTAGTTGCAAGAAGCCCTGGATAGTTATTTTGTTCTTATGTGTTTGTCATATCTATTAGGTGACAAGGAAAGTAAAAGGAAACAGGAATCCCCCGGAACAGCTGCAGCAGCTCAAGTGGTTGTCATGAGAGAACTCAAGTGGGATCATCAAGTACATGTTTGTACTATTAATTTTATGATTTCTGCTCTTTTAGCCCCAGTCACTTAGCCCCTATTTGAAAGTCGTTTACCATAAACGACCTAATAAACGTCTACTTCTAATTAAACACACCCTCAACGCTGTTAAAATTTTATTAGATGCCCTCTGTAATAAACGCCCCTGTCTAATAGTTAGATGGCTCCCCATAAGAATTACTCCAAAACACTAGGAATTAGCAAAAAAGGTGCAAAATCATTCAATTCATTCAGTTGCTTGCTTGATTAACAAGGACAAATGTGTATTTTATCTTGTTCAATGTGAATTAAAAGTGCGGATAGACTAACGATGCCAACAGAATAACAGTGAACGAGAATTCTAACATCGCTGTTGGGATTTGAAAAAGAGCGATAATATGGATCTCTAGACGGCCTATAGACATATCAATTGATGGAGTGGATATTCCACTATTTTTAAACTCTCTTGATATTTTTGCTGAAAGCTTGTTACAGTTATGAGAATAAAAGCCTCTCTCTTTTAAATGCCTCCTTTCTATTAAAGGCCCAAACCATGGACCCCTAGAATTAACTAGACGCCCTGGGTGTTTATTACGTCATTTACATTAAAGTGCCTATCACCCGTATTCAGTTATATTAAATTTCGAACATTTAAGTAAGTTAAAGAATTTTTGCAAAGAAATAAAGTTATTTTGCGTTTCAACACACTTTTATCAAAGGACGAAATCGGCAATTTGAGGCTAATTTCTTGCCATATTTATTCAAAAAGGAGTGATTGAGAGACTGGGCACTAAATGCTTGTGATGTCAACCCAGTCGCCGAGTTTCGCCGAGATACCGGGTTGACTTTAAGGTTGACTTCACAGACTACTTGACCCAGCCCCCAATAAGGCGTGTTTTTTACTTCGTGAACTGGGATTTTGGTCACTTGTTAAAAATCGAGATTGAGCTCAAATCCCACTCTATTGCTTGTTTTTGCATGTTATATGTTTCTACTTCTTAAAAAGAAAGATATTGCCGATGGGTTATAGGCACTTTAAGTCATTATTTTTTTTCATCATAAAACTTTTAGCCCCATACTTGTAGATGAGATAACTTAGGCTCTTACGTTTCTTTACGTTTTGACGAAATTCAAAATAGTAAAGCTTATCCTCCTGTCTTCCTCACAGATTTTGCCAAGTGGGAAAAAAGTGCAAGATCCACTTCTCCACCTTTGTGAAAAGTGCTCTCTCCCTATCCTTGTTTATGGCCGACTGGTATGTATAACAAGTTTAATTTACTTATGTACTCCTTTACCAGTATGCAAAGAAAGTCCTGTCCGATAGCCCGGGACTAGTGGATTTTGTTATCAGGCTAGTGAATTCTGTTCTCAATTTACCTTATTGGCAAATGGATTTTTTTAGGAAATTCACATTACGGGAAAACTGTAATCAATCCTGCTCATGAAAATTTTTTTCAGGTTAATTAAAATGGCTCTTGGGCTGGTACAATGTACATGCTACTTGCAGCTTGCACGTATGGCATGCTGTAAGACTGACTTTCTTTGCACCCTGTTTACTCCACGAGTTAGTGACATAACCTCATGATGTATGAATGCACTGAGGCTCTTGTTTGTTAGTCTGTGGATGAAGGTCTTGGTGTTACCTTTTAAAATCTCTTTGATGGAACCTCTGCAAGATAATTATTTTTTTTGGAATGATTTTTCTGGAGCTCTCAGTTTTTCATTTTTATAACTCCAGTGTTATTCTGCTGGTGTATCTCCTATGGTATCTTGTGATCAGTACTTGAACTGCTGTCAGTGACAAAATTGTTGTAGAATTTAGTGGTATCCAGATCATTGATTATAGTGGATAATTGATAAAAAACCCTCCAGTAACTGGATATTGATGAGGCCTTATACGCCTACTGGTGCGATGAGACATGATGATGATGATGATGAACTGGATATTGATCGTGGAAAATGTTCACATGAATATCCACCCAAAATAAAAATAAATTATAGTTGACAAATCATGTCTTTTAGAATATTAAAACCTGGGCACTGTATTTTAAATGTCTCATACAGTGATGCAGCTTTAATGCATTGATGACCCTTTTCTGATACCTTTCATACATGTATGTTTTCTCATGTTCTAAAAATAATGTGCAACAATGGCCCTGTTTAACTCTCTATGGGTTTGTAAGGGTAAGTTTGTTCACATTCAATTGTGCTCATTGTGTTAAGATGAGTAAAAGAAACATGTAGTAATTATGATTTAAAACGAGCATTAAGTCCAATTGTAAGTACAGCTTAAAAATCTGGGTGTATAGAAAAACACTTTCTACATGACTGTCTTGTTCATGTACCCTTCAAAATTAATAATTTATGCCTTCCTTGTCTTTATTTCAGAGTCCATGCAAACACTCTTTCTGTTTAACATGCACAGAAAAGCGAAATGGAAAATGCCCAATGAAGGTACATGTAGATTTAAAATAGATTTGTTTCATCATTTTTGTTACCTCAGTACAACTTGGTTTGCCAAAAATGTTTACACTGGGCTATAAGTACATGCAGTGCTATGTCACTAGAAACGTGGTTGCCTTTGGTTGTACATAATTTTCACTAAAAGTTACTAAAACTTGTTTAATCAAGACCAGGCACTTCGGAGTTCGTAAAAACTTGTTCCAAAGGGTTTGTGAGTTCCAGAAACAGTTACATTCAATGCTATGCCACCACAAGTGTGGTTGACCTTGGTTGTTCATAATTTTGACTTAGACTTGCTTAATCACAAGGCTCTTTGGAGTTCTTAAAACTTGTTCCAAAGGGTTTGTGAGTCCTAGAACCAATAATAACTGGAATTTCGAAGTGTGAGGTCGTTAGCAGGACTTGAATTCGGGCCAAATGGCATAAAAAGAATCTCAAAAATTCGAATGATGAAAAAGAGACGAAATTCAAAGTTTTGATTGACGTACTGACGAGCCATGCAGCTAAGTTGCTGAAAGTTGTTGTTCATGGGTCCAGAGTTGTGTTATTAAGATCCAGCTAATAAGTAGTCTCCCACCTCCCCGTTTTTGTCTTGTCACATAACGCTCCTCCCGTTTCCCCTCCCTTTCATGGGGAGTACTGTTGCGTGACGTGACAAAAACAGCTGCTTGAGAGACTAGTTTACTAGATAAAATGGGTAAATAATCAAAATGACCAAAATAGCCAAACATTGTCCTTCATCAGGGTCTCTGAACTCATGTAAATTTTACTTTAGGGGTGGGGAAAGTGTTCAGAGGATTGAGCGAGCACCGCTGGGCAGTGTGTACATCTATGTTTCTTCAGTCAGCGGAAGCCGCTATGGAATCTCGGGGTGTCGTCGGAGTTATTTCTCCCAGCGAGATTCGCAGTCACACATTAAGAGACGTCATCAGAGAGAGCAGGGGGGAGGGGAGAGTGATGGAGGAGAGGAAGCTGTGAATGAGATACAGCGTGCTATGTTTCCTCAGGCAGCCCCCTTTTTCCCAGCCCCTCTACACGAGACCATTCCCGCAGTGCCCCCGCTTCCCATGTTGCCAGGGGAAAGACCCTTTGGCAATGTAGGAACTGCACCAGTCATGGTAAAGACTATGCATTAACTCTGTAAAGTTGATCCTTTGCTACTAAACCCCTTGTATAGCAATTCCTAGTAATCAAAAATGATGATTTTTTCCCTGTCTTGTTGTGCAATGTCTTTTAGGTCTCATTATGTTTGGAGGGGAGTTTTTGACAAGTTTTTTCCAAGAAGCTGGGGTTCAAGAACGTATGAAAGAACATGTCATGGGAAAGATCCACTATGGAAAATCAAGTATGAACAACATTTCATATATTTAAGAATTTGCTCGATTAAGAGTCAAAGTGATGTTCATGTATAAATTCATTTGGTTAATAAGACCAAGTATAAAAGTAATTTTAATTTTGGACATAAACAGTTTGTATTTTCAGGTATACTTCTAATGGAAGTACATTTGTACACTATTTACTGCCTGTGACAGAGGAGTTGTTTGCAAGTAAGTCATACTCAGTGGTAACTGGCATGCATTAAAATGATCTCTTGACTAGCCAATAACAATATCAATTTGCAACTATTCTTAAATCAACAGGCTCCAGTTGTTCAAACATTGGATAGTGCTATCCACCGGATAATAATCTATCTAGTGGATAACGCAACTGGTTTCCTTAGTACTTATCTGTTGGATAGTGATCTGTGCAGTGGATAGCCCTATCCAATGTTTGAACAACCAGGGCCAGATGTTGATTACTGTTAAACCTCTAAAAAGTAGTCCCCATTATGTGGCCACCCTCTTTTTAGCATACATGTAGTCACCAGGACTACTAAAATTGTCAGTAAATCATTGAAAATAGAAAATCTGTTAATATTAAGTGTTTACCTTGAAGGCTTTAATTACCAAATGAATCAATAGGGGTTAGATTGTAGGTACAACTTGAATTAAATTCAAATCCTACTTTGTAGCTGTCACTTCCTCAAAAAAAATCAGCCGTATTAATTATTTTAGTGGAATAAGTGTGAACTGAATTATCATCATGAACCGGGTTTATTTAATTCTGCTTCCAAAGCCATTTACATATTTTTCAAAATGAATCTTAAATTTACCAGTATAAATATATTTTCGGTTTGTGAATTTCATGAAGACTTTTCATAATTAATTTTGTCCTTACAGATATCAACATTTTCCTGATCATCACGAGTTTATAGAGGATTTGTTGTGTCACTCAGATGCTGTGGAGGACATTGATATTTTCACCTTATGATGAATGTATCTTTAAATATACTTTTAATTCTCAGCAGACATGATTGTGCATAGCCTTATAGAACATAACCAACATTTCAGGTTGCCACCTACAGTTTCTTTGCAAGGTTATATCTGAGGAACGAGCATAGAAATTCTGTTATACTGATGATGTGTCACTACTCTCTACCCAGATCTAAGTACAAGTAGTGGCCAGTGCCAGATCCAGACCTTGAGATAAGGGAGGGAGGGGACCCGGTCGTCCAGACCCTTAGATAAGAAGGGGGCGGGGGTCCGGTCTCCCAAAAAATTTTTTTTCAGCCCTCAGTTTGGTCTAAAAATAAGGGGGGTGGGCCTCCTGGGCCCCTCCCCTGGATTCGCCACTGGTGGCACATCATCAGTATAGAATTTAAGAATATTTATGGAGATCAGTCTGGAGACTTTGTAGGTGGATATTGGGCTTAAAGGGGTAAGGGCTTTGATGTACCAGTGGCACATCCTCACTTAAAAATACACAGTAAGAGTAATCTCTCTTGTTCCCTAGTTTGACAATGCTTTCATTTTGTTCTCCTTAATATAACTTTCTCAATAGATTTAGTAACAGCATCAAAGGACCAAACTGTTGGTGTATATCGACTGGGACCACCAAGCCATGGCATTACAGAGTATGGAGAGATAAGATAACAACAGAGTACATACCAGCCTTCTGTTGACTACCTGCAATCACCTAAAGATCCAAAAGTCAGGGTCAACCCCTCAGGAAAGGGGTCTGAAAATTCAGGGGTGTTGGATTTTGTATAAAATGTTCTGGATTCTTAATGGGATGTGGCCATCATTGTTGACATATGCAAGCTATGATCATGGAAAAGAAGCCATCAAATTATCATAGTATAATGGTGGTGACTCTCAGTCCACAAAAATAGCCTTGGCCAGTCACATGTAGTAAGCTTGTTTGCCATGTTTGATCAGAGGGCTACTAACTTACATTTGGGGAAAAGTGAGATATTATGCAATCTGAATCTGGAATAAAGACTTCTCAAGCTCATTAATAATTCATAATTCAAGCCCACCAGTCAACACCTGTATACTACATCACATGGATGCGTTTGGATACCCAATGAAAAAGTAGACGAAAATCTTTAAAGATTTGGATACATTATCCAAATGTTGACTGATTCTAGAAAAATCATGTGACATGAATAAATTAATTCTACGTAAATAATGTCTCATGCAAACAACAAACATTTATTTCTTTTAAAGAATGTGACAGAATAGTTGGGTAATTCACATATTATCACAGTTCGGAATGTCCCAAAACTACAGGAAGAAACAACACAAGTTGCACATACCGGTAGTTAAAATGCAAAGCACAAATAAAACCTTTCAAAATCAGTTGAAATGATACTTTTTGTCACTAACAGCCAATGGATTTAATGCATCCTCACCATTTTTCTCTACCAGGAAACGTTTTAAGCCACAGACAATCGGCCATAAAGCGTCCGAGTCTTGCCATTCTAGAAAAAACTGTAACGCTCATTTGTTCTTTTAAACTGTAGATTTCAGAACAGAATTGATAACAAACTCTTTTTGCTCGTCAAACGTTTTGGGTGTCTGAAACATTGAACTTGATTCATCCATGTCGCACAAAAGCTGAACATGATAAACACCAAATTAAGTTGGATGACTCCCAAATAATACATTCCATCCAAACAGTTGTTATCACACTCTATAGCTATATAGCTATTGTTTAACCCTTTAAGTCCCAGTAGTGATCAACATCAATTTTCTCCTGAGGATATCCATAGATTGGCCAGAGAAAAGGTTATGAGAGTGACTATGAGAGTTAATAAAATGATCACCAGAGAGAAAATACCTTGATCTTTTATCAAATTCTCTCAACTAATTCTTAAAGGAAATATATAGAGATCAGTTTCGAGAATTTTTATGTGGATATTGGGGCTTAAAGGGTTAACCACAAAAACGAAGCAACAATAAATGAATAATAATAGTCAGCCACTTGCTTAACAAACTATTCCAAAAACTGGTGCTTTGTGCTTCATCAGGGTATCCAGACACCTCAGAACAATAAAGGCACGAGGCTGAAGTTCTCAGTGTCTGGATACCCCGATGAAGCTGGCTCGCACTCGTTTTTGATACATTACTTAAAAGTTAATCAACAAGTGATTATAATTATCAATTTTGATTATTATCCCTAGTAGCCAAGGTGCAGTTACTTGTACATTGTCTAGCAATCAGTCCAGTACTTCAGGATTTTCAAGCCGCTAGCCTTAAAAGAAATCAGTCTAAAGGACGAGGATATTGTTGTTAAGAAAAGCTTGCCCTTACTCAGGACTGGCACCAAGGGCTGGGGGCCTGGGATTTCTCCCGTGGCTGGCTGCTATGAGCATGATCACTGGCTACTTTTATAAGGAACAAAAGAAAAACAAAACCCACCAATCATCCTAGCTAGTTGTTTAATTCCCCACCACCTACTAATTGCATATACCCAGTAACTTGATATCTTAGTGCCAGTCCTGCCTTACTGTTATTTGGATCCTCAGAAACTTTCCAACAAGGATGTTGTCTGGATTACAATATTAATATAAACCCCAGTGGGTGTAACACAGTAAACACAAAAAGTGTAATACTGAGTATTAAAGAGTTCCTTACAATGAAAATTGGGTATAAAAGTTATTTCATGTCGGAAAAACTAAGAAAAATTCAATTTATTTATCCATTTTTTTTTTCATATTACCTTATTCTATTGCCACTCAGAGACCAGTCTTTTATTTATCCAAAATAATGCTCTTATGTGGCACAGCCTAGGCAAATAGGCAGGCTTAGCCCCGTCTTTTCGTGTGTTTCTTTTTTTCTTAGCCCAGAAATCCTTGGGGTCGTTACATAGTAGGATGTTCGCGTGACAAGCACGGGAATGGTTGCGTGACAAGCACGGGAATGGTTGCGTGACAACCAAAAGAACGTCTGTGTGGCACCCAACTGCTGATTTCGTTCTTTCTGCGAAGTCTTTTGTGTTCTCCTTTTGTCCTCATCTATCTCCTTTTGTTCTTAACTCTTCAAGTTTCGTAAGTATGCTGCGTACTCCTTTGGAAGAAGATCCTCTCCTTCAAGTATTTCATTGAGATAGATTTCGCTTGGCTTCAACCCACCTTTGACACATTCCTTATTCGCTTTGTACGCAATCGCATCTACAACTTCCCCGTTTCTCTTTTCCACTTTAACGATCACTCGGTGGAAACGATTGCCTTCATGAATGTGCTCGTGATCCATTTTACACATGCTTCCCTTCTGGCAGATGTATAAAGCGCCATGAACCGCGGAACCTTCGTCTGGGGTGATATTAGCGTAACCAAAACCATCATCTTTCCAGTTGGTGTTGAAGACAAAGCGATATCCGCGAAGCACTGCGCTCTCGCGAGAAGTAAATTTTGCTCCACGTTTTTTCATTTTTCTTTCACTTAGATTTGATGCAAAAGCAAAGTACAGCTCCTTCCCTTCCATATTGTTATAGTGTGGGATACCACAGGTAGACCACGTTGCAATTTTTCCTCACGTTATTTGCCTTGATTTGATAAGGGACGGACTATTGGAAAAGTGATGGGGGACGGGGAGGTGGGGAAGAAACAAAAAAAAATCACGCAAGGTAAAATGTCCCCCAACAAATTCATGAAGTGAAACCCAAAGAAAAAAAATCATGGAAAGGACGGGCCCGCTATTTCACTAAAACCAGAATGATTCCCTGTTTACCAGAGACTTTTCTTGCGCGGTTTCCGGTTTCTGTCATGTCTTCATCATAGTGCCACGCGCGAAAAGAGTTTTTTCTCACGGCTCCGCCGCTCGTATCTTCGGCCTTTGGCCGACACGGAAAATTCCTGCCGCACGCAAGAAAAACCTCAGGGTACCAGAATGACAACATCTTTTGGTGGGAGGAGGAAAACCTCTGCCCGAACAAGAGAAGACAAGACAAAATTAATTATAAGCCAATTAATAACTCTTTTAAAAACAAAGTACATTACTATATAACACAGATGCGTTTTTACTGGGGCACCCAACGTCAATTTTCGGAATATATCTGTTCGGAAGACGATTTGAGATCTAGAATTTTCGGAACATTTGTAGTAAAATTTCTTGCTTGCCTGCTTCTCCAAAGATTTTCGAACATTTGAAAAATGGTATAATTGCCCATTTTTAACGGATTTTTACCCTAAAGAGGTCACCTAGAATTTTCGGGACCCTTTTTTCTGGCTGAAATTTTCGAAAAGGTGAGTTTTGATCCCTATAATTTTTGGATAAAAATATGCCTCTATCTATCGTTTAAATACTAAAATACGTTTAACAATGCTGTGTTTAAGTGTTTTTGAACTATGTTCTCGTTGGGTGTCCCTGTATTTAGCTCCGATATTTTCGTAGCCTCCAACGCATGCGTTTTGCGGGGAGTTCGTTTTTCATCCCTCCCCACAAGGATGAAAAATGAGCTCCCCTAAAAACGCCTGCGGGGGAATATTTTCGAAGAAGACATGAAAAAACTCAGCGACTCTTTTGGAATAAATGCACATCAGACATTTTTGAAGCCCTTCGCTAGCAGGCTATATATGCTTTTCAAGTCTACAATAGTCAGCTGCACCTAATGTTGTAACCTTGGTAAAACATTATTTGCTGCACGTTCACTCAACTGTACTATGCAGTTCGCATTTATAAATCACCCCTTTCCACAATATATTCATGCAGTGTTCACTTGGACTTTTTTTGCTAGGAGTCAACGCCATTCTGCAATATTTTCATATTTTCCTTTGTTTTGATCATTTCTCAAATTTAAAATGCTCATAAATTACTCGTCAGACAAAAATAACCACAGCGGATAACCGTATAGTCAGTTGTATAAAGCTGGATACCAGCGTTTCTATCAAGACATTGCACATGAATTCGCTCTGCGTAAGACGTTAATACAACGATTTACACAGCGCTCTGACGGCCTGTGAAATCCAGGCTGCTCAGCATACGTTTTTCATAAAAAAAATTCATAGATTCCCTAGTCCCATAAGAGCAAACGTAAGGCGCCATGCCGTCTGGGACAGTCGCTGTGTAACTGCATATCAGCTATAAAAATATTAGTATTATTGGTCATGACAGTTTCAATAGTAAAAGCCGAGATGAAAATTTACGACAAAGCTTTTTGGTGAGTATTTCTCAGTACGTATAGATAATAAACACTAACAGAGCCAGGACTCCAGTTGGGACTTTTCTAACTTTTTTGTAACCAAAAAGAAAATAAATAAAAATAATAAACAAACAAGTAAATCCTAACCCTAACCCTAACTAACACTACCTCTAACCCTCCAAAACCTTCCTCTTAGGCCCTGTTTACAAAGAGGGTGGGTAACCCTGGTGCTGGGGTTACCCTAGCAAGAGGGTTACCCTAGCACTAGCATATTTCTTCTCTTTTTAGTCGACGTGTTTTCAAGAAAGGTAGGGTTTATTACCCTAAGCGCTAGGGTTACCCTAGCGAGAGGGTTACCCTAACTGCCTTGTAAAAGCTCTGCTCGGGAAAAGTCGCCTACCTGGGACAACTTTCCTCCGTCATGCGTGACCAGTAATCTTGACAATTTGAACGGATCGAGTTATTCAATTTCTGAGCTAGATTATAAACATCTGAACAATATAAGGTATTTTCTGCATACGTTGATAATATTTTCCCGTGTTTTTGTGAATTAAACGTGTTTTCCCAGCCGAGCCGAAAACGCCTGGGGACTAGGCTGGTGTTTTCCATAGAGAACTTCAAGTTTTATTTCAAATCTTGGACGTTACTAAAAGCAATAAGCAATACCTTCGGCGTCGATCAAATGAAAAACTTCTCAAATACAAAACGTATAAAACAAACTAACTGATCTCCTTAGAGTTGCCAAGAGACTCTATTTTCAAAATCAAATTGAATTAAATAAGACTAACATCAAGCAGACGTGGAGGATTTTGAATAATGCAATAGGCCAAAACAAAAAGAAGAAATTGACATACCCGCTAGTAGATGAAAATGGTGAAAGCATTACCAGCACAGAAGAAGTTGCCAATAAATTCTGTAAATATTTTACAAAGATCGGTCCAAATTTGGCCGATAAAATAGCCCCTGCCTCCAAGTCGTTCCAGGATTTTATATAATGGCCAACGGGGAGGAAGCAAATTTTCCGGAAAAAATTCCTACAAAGGGTTCCACTCAAAAAAAACATTCTTGCTCAGGCAATCGCAGGAAAAACATTCTTGGTTTCCTAAAGACCCCCCAACACCCCCTTTCCCATCACTTTTCTAATGGTCCTTCCCTAACTGACCAACTACTAACCCCCAGCAGCTCACCACTCAAAACATAAACCGGAATAAAATAATCTTGCAATTTAAATACAATAATAAGTCAATCCATTACACATTCATCTAACTCGGCTAAACTTTCGGATTAGTTTAGTTTTCTGGGCAACCGAGCTCGATACGAGTTTATATCGAGCTCGATATGTCAACCGGCCTCAATTTGTCGATACCGAGCTCGAGGCCTCTCACTTTTCCGGGGGGACAAAGTAAAAATGGTTATCGAGCTCGATGACTTATCGAGCTCGGTGACTTATCGAGCTCTGTTTTTCAAGAGAAGAAAAAAAGAGAAAAAAGTGGAAATTAAAGTAATAATGTCCACATGGAGTACAAAATCTAAAACGCCTTCTCGTTCTCAATTCGTTACGGACAGAAAACATTGTGTGGCTGGTCGATTAATGTTGTTTTGGTATTTTAAAAAAATATTGACGAAAAAACATTATTTTTTACCCTTTCTTCTTTGATATATTTGACGCGAGACTACCGTCCGTCAACGGCGCGTGAATTGAACGATTTAGTTTTAAAACGCAGACCTCTCACCAGCCTTGTTTTCCATGCAAGAATCGTATTCATTTGAAAGCAGATGTACAAGGCACCATAATACGGTTGACTCCTTATCTGGGAGAATATTAGCATAACCAAAGCCATCGTCCTTCCATATGCTGAATACGACGCGAAATCCTCGAAGTACTGCGCTTTCGCGAGAGATGAACCTAGTGCCGCCTTCCCGCATTTTTCTTGCGCTCAGATTTGGCCCAAAAGCAAAGTAAACTTCTGTTTCTTCCATGGGTGTATAGCGTCCTTCACTGTTTTAAACCAAGCCGTGGTCGCTGATCGAACTAAGTTATGCTTGATCGCCCTCGTGCGCGATGATGCTCAGAGCTACATCTCATTAGCTCATTAGCCTGTCCCTGGCATTTAAAAGTCATGGAGTTGTGTGAATGATAATGTAGCCTGCGTAGCTGGCAGAATTCTTGTACCCGTGGTGCTTTCTTGGCGGCGGAGCCACCACGTGACGCGTCGACGTTAGGGAATATCCCTCCTTGACTTGCTCCCAATCTTCACGCGGCTCCGCCGCTAAAAAAACTACAGCACTCGCCGCTAAATCGCCAGCTACGTAGGCTAAGGAGAATGCGAGTCTCCTTTCCCTTCTTCGCGCCGATCCATTCCCTTTCTTCTCTCCATAAGTCACCACTTTATGAATCCGGGGCCCCATGTATGGTAATCTCTCTTTTATCTTAGTCCGTCGAGCAAAACGCGCGAGACCCGTAAATGACCACGCGCGTGACTGAAAGCGCGAGACAGGAGAGGCA